GCTGTTCGTTTTTGCCATTCATCTTTGGCTGGCGCAAGAGAATGAATGACGCTTCCAGTGCTTTGCGAGCAGCAATCTTACTTTCGTACGTTAAAATCCTGCACATCACGTAAAAGTCGTTACCGTTGTGATCCGCTCTATGTTTCTTGAATGAGCTTATCATGCTCCCTCGTTTCTTACCGGCCAGATGTTCGTTAGCGCGGATGCTGAGTAAATGCCCCGTCTCTCCGATATAGGTTGCATAACATTCCAGACATCCGAGCTCGTAAACTACCCGAGACTTGGCGCAATCCCCTGCTCCGTTAGGGCATACGCAGTTCTGTGTGATACAATCCGAATCATATAACCTATTATACGTACTAGCTGTCGCTCAATGAGCCTATAAAAGTAAGATTGCTGCTCGCAAAGCACTAGAAGCGTCATTCATTCTCTCGCGCCGGCCAAAGATGAATGGCAAGATTTAACAAGCTTCCTACCACCAGCGATCTTAAGGGCCGGGTATACTTCACGCGATTTCTGTCGCGACGCGATTTGGCAGTTCGCCAGAAGTCTTCAGATCCACTAGCAAACTGCACATGCACAGTGTGTATAATTTACGGAGATTGACAAAATGCTATATCTTGTATGCATATAGAATGTGCCTACAGAGTTATGGACAGTTGGAATATTGCCAAATCACGTCGCGACTGAAATCGCGTGAAGTATGCCTGGCCCTTTATGTCGTTCATATGGTACTGTCATTATAAGTTACCCACGACTGCTTAAGCTGTCCTCTTGTGGGACTTGTTCAGCCGTTTGTCATCAGTGTGTGGACGTTAGTGAGCAGCCTTGCCGATATTGGTGAGTTGCCATAGCATGAGGACTTTGTACCGTCCACTTAAAGCGAATCGAGAAGCAACTGGAGGGGAGCGTCGTATAAAGCAGCAAATACGAGCGAGACTATCTTTCAGGCCTCTGAGGAAGGCATTGTTGCCAAAACGTCAGGCTGAATAAACAAATAAAGCTTGTGACAAACCTGTGTGGCAAAACATCATAGGAAATTCTCCTAGCTTTTTATCCTTGCATGTTCTCTCACATGGGGTCTGCTGCTCTAGTTAGTCTTCTCCAACTTCGCAGTCTTCAACTTCACTTTCGTCTAATTCGAGTTCTCTTAAGTCTACTTGGATCTTGTCTGACTGACGTAACCATGGCCTTCCTCTCGGCCTCTTTCCAATACAACTTCTACTGACATTTCCACTCTAATGACGTAATCATCTCACTTCTTTTTACGTGTCCATACCATCGAAGCAAATTCTCTGCATCTTCTTGACAATAGTGGCGACCTTCGTCTAGCTCGTATAGTATCGTTGTGGCGTGATCTATCATGTTAACGCGTGCCGTTCATCTTACAAGGGAATGGTCAGAAGTCGAAGTGGCCAATCTATACAAGCTGCATACCATCCGATGCAGCTTAAAATGCTGATTTCATATCTGTCTTCCGTATCTGCAGAGCGCCTTTGTAAGCAAGTCTCAGTGCAAAAAAATCGTGCACGAAAATTGCGAGATTAGGTACATTATTGCCCTTTTCGCTCACCTTTAGGTACTGGCCGTATGAATTGACTAGCTGCATGTTTTGATCTAGCACTGAGCCGGGTATGGCTCTGTACGGCAGAGTTTGCCTTTTACACACACAATTTCTTGGCAAAATAATGGCCTTTAACGGGTTATAATTTTGTCCACAAAGGCGCTCTGCAGATAAGGAAGACAGATTTAGAGTCAGCGTTTTATGCTGCATCTAATGGTAGCAGCTTGTATGAATTGGCCACTTCGATTTCTGACCACTCCCTTGTTAGCATACTGTCTGGGTCTTCATCACGCTAATCCCTTTTTCTTCGTTTCTCGCATGCGGCCAACATTCGCTGCCATATAGAGCAGTTGGGTGGACTATTTAATATAGCTGCGGAGCGTCATCCGCTTATCGCACAGGATTCCTATAAAACTTCGCTTTCGTCCAGGCTGCATTTATTCTAAGCGTAATCCCGTCTAGAAATGCACCATCTGTAAATATGCAATTTCTCAGGTTTTTGAAGGCTTCTTAATTGACGTTTACAATCTGGATAGTCCCAAGCGTTTGCGTTACCAGCTCTCTGTACTCGGTTTTCGCGGTGTTGATCTCCAGGCCGTATAGCTCTAATTCACTTTTCCATCTGCACTTCAGTCTCCAGCTCTTCCCTACGTTTTGCCGTCAACATCACATCATCTGCGTACATCAGGTCCCTCGACGTATAAAGAAGCTTTTGACTTTTGTGCTCACAATCGTGGGAGAGGAGGGGTACTGTACAAAACGTTGATAAACTTCCAGGTTTATTTTAAAGTAGTCTTATCGTGCTGCTGCTGTTTGTACTTAGCTGGTGGCATCTTTGTATCATATTTGTATTGTATATTATCTTGATCCATTGCATGTTTTCTTCGGATATCATATGCTTCCGTAAGACCACCATATGAGATCAATCTGCACCTTATCGAATGCCTTTTTTCAGATTGAGGAACGCTACATAAAGCTCGCGGCTTTCGCTTCTTTCACCGTTATCCGACAGCTAGATGACATCTATTGTGCTGCAACTCTTCACAAGCCCGTATCGTTTCCCAGCTCCAAGATGCTTCGCAATCGCATATCTAAAATTCTTTTAAAGATTTTCAGGGTGTGGCATATTAGTCGGATAAGGCTATACATCAAACACCCGGCTACGTCGCCTTTGTTCTTCCAGTTTGTTACTGTCGTGCTGTTGTACCAGTCAGTTTAGATCTTTTGGGCTCTATCTGGTTTAGTAATCGAAATCTAACTATGTAAATCCAGCTTCATTCACAGTCCTTCCAAAATTCGTTGGCGATACCGTCGGAGCCTGACGCTTTATCGTTCTTCGCTTTCGCATGGTGGATGTGGACTTCAACTTTTGAGATTTTGAAGCGATTCTTATAAGCTTTGCTTAAAATGCCGGTTCGTGTTCATGACTCGTGTACCATCACTGCGTATGCTCTCCATCATTCTTTTATCTCTTGCGGTTTTCTGACCCTTCCAAGCTACATGGGATAAGTCAAGTCGTACCCACAGAAGATTGTGGGGCGAGGGAGCAGTCGATTTATTGATTTCCCATTTGTAAAATGTTTTAAGCCTTTGTTCCCTGATATTGTAGATGTGCTCTACACTTCTGCAGCGAATGATCTTCTTTCTGCAAATCGGTAGATGTCTTTTTCGCCTTTGTGGGTATGCAGCGTTCTGTAAAATTCCTCCATGTGCCGTTCTTTCGTCTCTTTGACAAACCTCTTTACTGCAGGTGTTTCTTCTAGGTATTTCTGATGAGCGTCCTCTGCTTGTGACTTCTGCCATATCCTAAATGTCATCTTCTTCTTCTTTATCACAATCTGTACGTTTTCGTCTCACCACCAAGTCTCCTTGCCACCCTTCGGTCTTCCGGTATTTGTGTATCCCACTAGATTGCTAGCTACCTGATGGATTTCTTCTTTAGTCTCGTCAAGAAGCGTTTGGAATTCTATCGAGCCGTAATTTTTTCTGGCGTACGTCATGAGGTGGCTAGTCTTTCGGATGAAGTACATGTTGGCCAACGCCAGTTATACGAGGCTCCTAGAAGTACGGAGGCCGGAAGCAGTGGATGCCGCACTATCCGGCGACATTACGGCAGTTTCTGACGCTGTCGCCGCAAAACCTATTTGTTTTGGAGCGTTGTCAAACGGTTATACAAGGTGTCCCAAAAGTATTAGGTTGTCCCATAAGTTTTTTCATCTTTGAGTTTTCGCTGTAATAAGTCATACACTTTTTATTTTAAATAGATACCACGATATCATTGAATAGAGGAAAGCAAGTTCTATAAGGCAACTAAAAGTTTGCAACTGTCGCCTACTTGCCAGGGGCCTTCTGAAAGCTCTAAAAACGCAGCAGGGACTCACTTACTTTCTTTCCATATATCTCTTATAATGCATCTATTTGAAATCGGTCGAGGGGACAGTTCCAACAAGTCTTAATATCGACAGTTTCCGCTTCTCTCCGTACTTCTAGTATGCGACGACACACACATGCCTTCACAGAATTCCAATGTTCATATTCCTGATTGTAAGAAATTTTCTTGATATGTTATAGCCAAAGGCCTGCTCTATCACGCCGTACATTCACCAAGTGCAAGAAGTTAGCGTGAAGAGTGGGATGAAAAATTTACTCGAACTGATTCTTGCTCCATACACAAATAGACTCACTAAAAGCTTAAGGCACCGTCCACCTAAGTTAGGGGTTTTGAGCTTTTGGCAATATAGCAGGACCTCCATTTCAGTCAATGCCAAACCTCGGCGCAGATGTCGCTTCGAAAGCGAGATAATCGCTTCGGAACAGCGATGATGCATGGAGACCCCAAGTCCGCACCCTTTCCTTTCCAGTAATGCCCGCCCATTCGAGCGCGCCATCCGATCTCCCTTCCAGAAAGCGGGCCAGTGGATTCTCGAGAAGAAGATTTGTCCGAGTTTTCGCAGATTCTCGGCTTCGTATTCAATCAGGGACATGAGAAGGCTCGGAACGGTCCAAACAAGAGTTCGAGAATCTGTTAGGACGGTGCCTTCAGCCTCCATGGGCAGCTTCTCGGCAAAGGAGGATTAATGCAATTTCACAGCATTGCAATGACTAACCCTCATTCCAATCTATCAGTGAAGACTAGAGCGAAAAACAAAAGCCTCAAAAAAAGCTTATTTTCTTTTTTTTCATTCGCTTCAAAGCCGACAAAAGTTAGCATTGTGAGAAGAATGAAAATGTGAAATCTAGAATCTTCGAAAATGTGAGTTCTAGAAGTCGAAATTTTGCCGGGATACTGCTTCCAACGGTTGTACATGAGTTGTTTCAACACCATCCATCAAAAGCAAACATATATGATCATCATGTAGTCATCTTAACTTCAAAACAACAAGCCTAAAGTTTTGAATCCCATCAGCCTTTAGAAAACTTTTTGCAATTTTTCATCTTACACTGCACTCACATAATTTACTTGGGCACGTGGCGCTATGAGAAGCTTTATCATCTTCCTAATCCTCCTCCTCCACATTACGACAGGACACGATAGTGATGTGTACGGTAAGCCTTGCATGATTGCTGAATTAAACATATATGTCATTATTTAGACGCACAAAACTGCGGTATATCACAAGTTGGGTCTGCACACTTTGGAGCGGCAAGAAGAAGGTAAAAACAATTTTTCGTCTGCATCGAATAGTTAGGTTGTCCGATAATTAATACGAATCGTTATAAGGTGCACTACACATCTGCGTAACGCCTGACTTTTGATTGATGGGAAAAAATAGCATTTTCAATGAAGCTAGGTTTTCCAAGAGTGGTCAAATACGTGGTTTTACGATTTTTCAAGCAGCCGAGCAAAACGAATTGACCGTATGAGGCAGAAACTGTGGACAGAATACTGTCAAAGGTTGACTAGACTAGCAAGAAAGAATTGTAAGTCGAAGTCAAATGTGTCAGCAAGGCCTCGGAAACAGAAGCCAAACCACGGCACATCGTGTATTCAAGAAACTGTGATAATAATGTGATCTGATGTGCTCAACACACTTATCATACTCAATCCATGTTAGTGTGAAAGCTCCCTCTGTTTACGTAACTCATCTTTTCGTAAATAGAATACGCCTGCCACGCGAGATGGATATCATTTCGCAACCTCCAAGTCACATACCCTTCCACCAAGTTATATCCAAATCTGTGGTAATTTTCCCTTCCTCATAAATTGCCTTACCGTAACTCCCAAAGGCTGTAATAGAGCTCGGTAAATATGGCCGGGCCGTAATTGCAAGACAGTTATTGTAGAAGCAAAAATGAATGCGGCTTATTCAATGGACGGATCATAAGGAAAAGATGCATTATTGAAACTTCCCACATTTTGAAGCTAACTGGTTGCCGAAAAAATAACGGCGATTTTTATTGACTTGATCTCATTGCAACCAGCAAACCCCAAGAAAGCAAAGTGTTACACTTCGATAGAGCAAAGCAGACGGTTGTTGATGTTATGCGCGTTTTACGTGAATTAAAAGTCGAAACCTAGAGCATTCCCCAAAAAATCGGAAAATTCAAACTCCGTCGTAAAACCTATACATCTACACTGTTAAAGGCCGACATTCATATATATAGTTTCTGTGCTTTTTCTTTGACTAGAGAGTGAGAAATCGAAAATTTTCATGTTTTTCAAAGCAATGCTGGATTCTGAAAAGAAGAAACCACTTGCAAAACAGATATTATAATACAATCCGAAATGTTCATTGCGAGATGTGACACGTGACACAAACAAACCTTCTTTGAAATCTTTAGCACTAGAACAAAGTGTGTTTTTGGTTTGTGATCTAGCGAACAATGAAGAGCAAATTTGTGCAGTACGCGCTTCTACCTTGGCTCCTTCCACAGGCTCACTACATCTTCTAATCGAAACCACGCTACAACTCAGAAGTTTTGACTGTTGGATTTTACTGGCCCGTCATTAAGAATGCCTTCATGCCGCGCCCGTAGACGCTGACAGCACAGCCAGTAGCAGCCCTCACAAACGCTAGCAGCCCGTAACCGCCGCTGGCCGTCCTTGTTACCATAAGAGCGCAAGATCATCAGATTCCTACTACTTTGAGTGCACCCAGAACTGTACTGCACTCTAAAACTAAGGAATTCGAACGGCTTTGCACATGTTGTCTACTGGCTAAGTTTACACTTGTAGTCTGTCCCATCAAGCATTGTTCATCTTTTGGAACCGAAAGAGAATGTTTAACTTTGTTTAGACATTATGTGAAGCGGCTTCCGATCTGAGAATGGGTGGTATGTATCATATAAAAGAACATGCAGCAAGAACTTATGTCAAAGAAATCGTTCACAATTGTTTTGAACAAGAAAAAATGCAAAATTATTTTAAAAAAAAGAAGGTATCGATAGGATGTGCAATGTACGGCGAGAGATAATGACAACACAAGAAAAATATGAAATAAAACTGCATACTGGTGGCGGCAATGGGGAGGAAAAAGCGTGAAAGTTGAGAAACGTGAGCGGCTGCAGCAGCGTGGTAAAAAACGGATGATTTTGCGCCCCCATGATAGCAGAAGCTACGGCGCTGCGGGCTGGTGAAGGGGGCTGCGGCAAAGTATAAAGGCTTTCCAAGTATGGCTTGGATACTGTGTTTTCGCTTCAGAATATATATACTTAAAAAGAGTGGTCTCCAGTATTGTAAGTCACAGTTTTATATCTTTTATCAAAAAATCACCAACTGCTGTTGCTGCGAAGAATTCTGGAAATAATCTCGATTAGTCTACTAGTAATGAGCGAAGATAAGCTAATAGTTTTAATGCATAAAAAAGGTGATATAATTACCTTTGATGTCAGTTTAGGTATGCAAGAGTTGCGTAAGAAAGATTAACAGTTATTATTCCCCTTACTTTGCCCTATGAGGATCAATTTCCTTTTTTTGCAAATGATATAACATTTACTTTCAATTTCTGGTCCTCTTCAATGTATTAATGACTTGTTAACTTCAAAGTAATAAAGCGACAGTTCAATTATTATTGATTTTCTTATTATATAGAGGCACTAAAGCTTATTATGCGGCGAGGAAGATGCAGTGTTATCAGCCAAACACTTAGGAAGGAAGACAAATCGAGCACAGGAGCAGCAGCTCAGGTTGCTTTGGACCAACGAATATGTATGCTCTGCCAAGCAAAGTAAAACTCAGATTTGGATAAGACCTTAAACGTGAAAGCTGTCTGACTACCGACATAAGGCTGATGCAGAATAGTGTAGCATTTCTTTTACTCAAACTTCTTCTTTCAATAAATACATGAACAACATGTTTTTACTCAGAAAAGTTTGTAGCTCAAAAAAACTCTCGCTTCAATGAAAGCCAAACCATTGAGGGGACGACTAGAGCAAGCCAATGGGGGTGCTGGCAACTTCGCGGACTGACTTGATGAACTCGAAATTTTTACTTTTATCAAAATATCACCAATTTTCTGTTACTTGGAGTTTTCCTGATTAAGTCGATAATAAGTGAAACTTATGAACTGTAATTAGTCCACGAGCTAACGCGGGATTTGGCAACATTCCGCGATGTCTTCCAACTCGCCATAATCTATGATGCCATTGGAAGGATTGATTACTAACAGCTTTGAAAATTCTTACTTTGAATTATGGGAGTCAAAGCATTAAGAGGGCGGTTGGAACAAGTCGATAGTAAACACCTCTACTAACTTTTGGACAAGCTTTTTGCTTTCGAGTCATACACTATCGCGTCTTATTACTTCGGAGACGGAAACTTGCTAGTGACCGCCAACATTTCTTTTTGAGAAGAAAGTGCGCATTATCACGATACTACCTAATGAATACCTTGAGTAGGGTGGCGGTCAAGAATAACGATAGCTCTGTCAGCCGCTAGCTGCCAGCTGCTGGCGCGCCCAGAACAGCCCACCCTCACTCATCATGAAGTTGAGAGAAATTATTAAAACTCTAGTTCTCTTCATTGAAGTTCGTTTTCTCCAACGACCAAAGAAGCTTACATATAATAGCCTTGAATAGCCTGGATTTCTCGCTGCAGTGTAGAAAAGAGCCAAGCTAATGAATGTAATCAAACTTCTTAGCTCTTCATCGTTACGAACATGAACGCAAATGATTATTCAATAATTATGTTTTAGAGCATACATTTCCTCATGCCTCACTGCTCAGCAGAGCTAGAAGAAGAGCATAAGGTGTACGCCATTGCTCATTCTAAGCTTTCGAATGCTTTATGATTGCAAAAATTAAGGCTTTTCTGTTAGAGAATTTGACTCCTTTGGTCAAACATCAAAGCCAAACCTTTGTAGTGATTCCCAGATCATACCTGTGTACTATACAAATTCTGTGCTATCTCCAATTTCCTCTCGGCCCTATTGCCCTTCCTATATGACAGATAGACAGCAAGGTTATCTATCTGAACCTTGCTGTCTATCTGTCAGCAAGGTTCAGATAGATAACCTTGCCCACTTAGTCCTCCCACATTTCAATGTTAGGTACAGTGCAGGTTTTCAAAAACAAGTGGTTTCTCAGCTTTTCCACGAGAACTAGTCTTTAAAATTTTCAAAACGGCCATATCCTATCTAGGACCTTTAACAAAATCAAGATTTTTTTCTATTCTCCGGGCATTTAAGTTTGTTCTTTTTTGACTTAACTTCTTGTGGATTAGATCTGTAATAAAAGTTTGGATTCTGCCTTGTAAAGCTTGCTGTGCTCTTTCAAACAACATCTTGGAATCTATCTAAAATGTAATAAAAAGTAAAAGCGCTTTCTATAGAAAAAGAAATGTCTTAATAGGTTGATGGACGATAAATCTCTCAGTTTAAGTTTAGAGGTGTTGGTATGAAATTAATTTGCTCCGGTGGAATTTGCATTCTTGTGATTCACTTTAAGGTACATGCTTTTCTGCAGAAAAAAGTCATTGAAGCAATCTCTTGAGCAAGTAAAAAAGCTGAGAAGATTTATCTTTTCAGACTCACGAGTAGGCCAGATTGCTGTGACTAATTAAGAGACAGCGAACACTGCAAGCCTTTTCTCAGGCAACATTGAATTTGCAGAGATACAAAGCAGAACAACGGATAGTACATTTATTTTTTGATTGTTTGAAACTTTCTCATCTCGACACAAGTCAAGTGAGACCATCGTGTTTTCTTGCAAAAGATAAAGACAATTTCTTTTCCATTTCAAAATCAAAGTAAAAACACAGATGCTCTGTGAATTCCAGACGTTCTTCCCCAGTTGATGCGCACTCTAATGATGCAAATTTTGACGGCGGTGTACAGCAACAGGAGTTGGATGAGAACGCCATTTTGAACGAAGATGACAACGATTTTATGCAGGAAAAGGTAGGAACATCATGAGCACGCACAGCGCTTTGCTGCAGTGTCTCGCAACTTAGCTGCATTGTCAGCGACGTTTAAATTTTCTATTTGGTAATGTTGTTACACTCGGACTTTGTAGCGCGGATTTCCTTTGTGGAAAAGAGCTATTATGATAAGGCAATGATACTTTTCAAGCTTACAAGAAATGTACATCTACAGAATGCATGAGCGCACGATAAAATCAAAAAAAGTCGTTTACAAGATCACCAATGCGCAATCGCTTAAATATAAACTATCCGTGACTAGAGTCTCGACACAGACGAACACTAAACATTTTTCTTTTCACTTCGTCGCTTACACTTCTTTAGACGGCACATTTATAGATCTACACACACCAACCAGGTTTTTTCTTTCAGAAACCAAAGGAAAAGTTATAAAGAAGGGAAGCTTTGTTCTTAACAGGGTCTATTAGGTATTCTACACACTTGAAGAGTGCTTTGTGCCTTGATATACCTAACCTATCTAGGATTTAAGTCGGACGTTGAGAAAATCAAAAACATCCTTTCATTTTTGCCTTCTTGTGTCATATGACTTTGGATAGCTAAAAATCTAAAGCTCTCAAGCCTGAATAATTTTCACTAGATGACGATCAAAGTGAAAGCTCAATGAGATTTTTGAAGCAAAAAACCTATCTTTGGTATTCTAGTTTGTGGACTTTGCTTCAAAAATCACGTGATACTTCAGACAAATGTCCGAAGTCATTTTGTAGGTTAATTGCATCTTATATTGCACTAGTTGGCATACCCGGCCCCACCCAGCCCCTCAAAACACCATGTCAAAGGTCACTATCTCTATCTCCATACAAGCTTTTCCCTGTGCCCGCTTCGGTACTTTTCCGTTACCCGGACCCAATTTTCACGGGTTCTACGAGGACTGCTTTTCTGCGACGTGTCAGAAAAAAATCACGTTTGGTTTATGTTGACATGTTTTTTCGAGCAAATTTCAGGTGAGGTAAAAGAGAATTGTAGTCATCTTACAGCTGTTCAATTCTCTTACATAAGAGTAAAACAATCATGAACATTTTAGAACTTTTAGCAGTGATTCAAAAATGTCTTTTTCTCATTCTTTTCGCAATGCGAGTACTTGCTTTTGCTTATTTCGTTTCAATGACGGAATCCTAGCCATACCTTCGATAGTCTAGAGACAGGGCCCTAAAAGTGAAGGTTATTTGATTTTGCCCCTCCCCCCCCCCCCCCACCCATAAAAGGTGAAGGTTGTTTACATAATTTAGAAAAGATGCAAAACATTTAGTAAAAGAAAAGAAAGTCTCTTGAAAATCGGATAGAAACGCTGCGATAAGTTGTAATCTTTCATTTGGCGGCATTGCAGGTTTTCGCTCAACTTGAGGAAAAACAAGTGAAAGGAAATTTTTTCTTCGTATTTAGTCTAAAAACACCATGTTCTAGAAGTAACAATTACCAAGAAAAAATAAACAAGAAAAGAATTAGTCTTGAAAACGATAGAGTTTTACTTTTACCAAGTCGAAATGCGCATCAAAGCCAACCTAGTTTTTGGTGCGTCCTTTAGATTTTTACCCCGCATTGTGGTTTTCGTTTTCTGGGAAGTTGTCTTAATTGTAGCGCTCACTATCCTGAGCGGTAATCGCCAAGCTGGAAAAAAATCTCTGCGAAAGCACTAAAACAGAACAAGGAGAAGGAAAACGAACTTTCACGATTTTCACAAAAAATTCCGCCCTAATCGAAGAGATAAGCACTGAGTCGTTGTCTTTATCATAAACAAAAGCAAGATTTATAGAATGCACGAAAAAAAAAACCGTGTGAGAAGAGTCAAACTAGGGAAAAAAGAAGAGATTTCCGAAAAAAGGAATGCTTTTTGCCGAATTTTTCGCTCAAATCAAAAAATATGGTTTTGAGACGTTGTCAGCGTGAGAGTAGAGGTCAAGAGCTTCAATTTCTATATATATAAAGCAGAAAATCCGTGTGTTTGTGTGTTTGTGCACATTTTCCATAGTCACAAAGATGAGCGGTGGAGCTCATTCTGATCTGCTGATTTAAGATATGATAACACGGTAGGAAGCGAACCCAAACCGGGCTGGAATCAGAAGAAGGGTAAATTTCGCTTCATGAGAAATCAAGCACTTTAAACTGGCTCCAAAACGGGGTGGAACCTGGGATGCCAGCTCGTATGATATATAGCGTGCTAAAATTGGGTTCGAACCAACGAAGAAAAGAGTACCAGAGCCAAATACCCCGCGCCCCACGTTTGAGGTACTTAGACAATTATGGCGAGCACCCGTCAACCACCCACGGGCGACGCCACGCCCATCCCGAGGGCGCGCCGGTAAGTGCCCGATAAGCGCCCGACAGTGCCCGCGGGTGCCGATAAGCGCACAATGGCAGCGGGTGGCCCGGGATGCGCCCGATAAATGCGCGTTTCGCACCCGCGGGTGGCCCGATATGCACCCGGTACTCTAATTACGAAAAATTTTCAGAAGCCGTTTCCACTTCCGGTCTATCATAAAGGCCGCAATCTACACAAAAATACATGGTGACTTTCGCATCTTTCCCCATCAACGCTCCAACCCTATACCACAAGCGAAGGCTCCAGTTGTGTCAACCAAGAGATCGACGACCAGAACTTGACTGTCCTTGCAACCAGATGTGGAGGGTAACTCTATCACCGCGCCGGATCTCACGCAAGTAACGTTTCCTCTTACAGCGTGTAAGAATTGCGGCATCCAGCAAGGCCCGGGCTCGCCAGAGTCGTTCTGTCGGGCTGGCCTAGAGGGCCGGGGCTTGCCCGAAAACTACACATGCAGGGAGTTCTGTAAGGACCGAGCCTCGCCGTGTGGTTTTTCTTGGGCCGCGGTTGTTCCGATAAATTTGAGACCCGCGCCCTTTTCGTGATGACAACATTGGGCCGCGGCTCGCCAAGCGCATAAATCTGGGGCCGCGGATGATCAGTGCAAGTAGCGCGTAGTGCGCGGAGACGCAGACGAGCAGCAGAGACAGACCGGAGCCGACGGGGCATTTGGCTCTGGTCGTAGATATCCGCCGGGTCTCAACGAAAAATTACAACATTAAATTATATATTATTCTGATCGTCATGACACGAAGAGAAGCACTGACAATGCCCCAACCGTTAAAATTTTACTCATTAACGATTTAGACCAGCATTTTCGTGCGCGAGTCTCTGCGCAAGAGTTGAGCGCAGTTTCGTGTTTTTATTCAGCTCCAACAGCTTTTTTGAACTTCTGAGATTCAATTTTAGTCAAATGAGAAGTTAAGTGATCAAGTGAGAGTTTCTGTTCGAATTCTGGAGAAATGTTCACGAAAACCTTCTATTTAGCATAAAAAAGCTATTAAAACGCAAATTCTCGGTTTCGCTGAAATAATCTAAGACATTCATTCCGGTATGATAGAATTATAGAATCCTGGGTTTCGCCCGGGATGGCTTTTTTAGGTGAAGGTTGTGTTTTATTACGGCTTTTAAAGGGAATGTTACCAGAGTACATTCAATCTGCATCGACGGTATAATCCTAGCTCACTCCTCTATTTTGAGCAACCCTAATATGACAATGTTCACTTTAAAATTTTGATCGAAATGGGTTCAAAACTAACTAAAAAACAGATTGGACTTACTTCGCTAGTAAGGTGAAACAAACCTGTTAAACATGTAAATGACTTGCCAAATTTTTTTGACATGTGGCAGAATGTTGACACTTCTTTTTGTGAAGCTGGGACTAAATATGGTACAAGGAAAGGAGCAATATCCTTCTTTGAAAAATTGTTCAAACAATGGAAAAGTACCCTACCTCTACTTGCCAATTCTCTATCGCTTTTTTGTCTTCGTAATCAGCATGCTCACTTAGCCCCCTGTGCCGGCTCCCATCCCCTTAAGTCAAACTTAGAATCGATAAAATCGATGTCGATCGATAATGAAAAGTAGCCTATGACAGGCGCCCCGCCCCCAAGTGTATGTATGCCAAGTTTGGTCCGGATCGGTTCAGAAATGGAATCTTCTATTCGGAACAAACGTACACCACAGACAGACATACAAACAGACACACAGACATGCAGACATGCAGACAAACAGACATTCAGCTTCACCTATAAGATATGTAATCTTAGACATAAGGCATACCTCATGCGATTCGGCTTCGCAACGTTCACGCGATCTGGCACTTTGCCAGATATCTCCAAATTTATCATGCACGGTCCTTCAACACATGAACGCGTGGCTTTTGTAACTTGTTGCAAATCGATCAAGTCCTGCCTTGAAAAAGCGCTTTGACTATCACTTATGAACAGTCGTTCCGGTACCAAATCGCGCAGCGACTGGAATCGCGTGAGGTATGCCTTAGCCTTAAGCACTTTTTGTACTTACTTACGGTACCTAAAAAAACTGGTTTCTGCACTGTGTTTCGATGCCTACACAGAAGGCTCCCGAAAGGATTTCATTTTCATCTTTTCTAAAATCTTCATTTACGCATTTACTGCTCTTTACGTACCTTTCACGGTTTTCCTATCTCTCCTCCTTTAATCCCTTCTTTTCTCTAAGTGTTGTAGACGCATCCTGTGCCTCTTTTTGCATATATTTGGCCGAACTCAGGTAATGGGAGGTAGACGAGCTGAGAGAGGTGAACTTCCATGGGCAGTGCATCTTCGCACCCGGATAAGTGAGTTTCCCTTTGATGTAAAAAGTATTTAGGCTTTTTAGGTTTAGTAAATGAGCATTTACAAAGATGCGTCGTCCTTCACAATTGCTCTCCATTCTGTGCCCGGTTGCAAGTCACACGTTCCACTCATTGGATAACGCTTTTGACTACAAGTGAATACAAAGCTGACGAAAACTTGAATTAATTATTCAAAGAAAAAAGTAGCCAGGTTTATTTTGTGATCTACGGTCTCCACAATTTATACGACTACTTTAACGTTATCGTACTAGCACACCCACACCACCAGATACCTTATAACCTTAGCACATGTTAGAATGCAATCCACAAGAAAAGTTGAAATTGGTTGAGAGGAAGCTGCTTCTGCAGAAAATCACGCCGTTCGGAATTATCTTTGACGTCAGGCGAAAGCAAGATTTTAAAGCGAGTTGCAGGTGTGTGTGGTGGAACGCTGGTTTCTAGACGACATATTATTTCTGCATCTCATTGTTTTAAAAGGACAAGAAAACGTCCATGCGGGTAAATTAAGGTTGGTACTCTAACCTCTGTCTGCAAAATTCTCTTGTAGCACCTCAATCATGTCTTCTATGGAAGAAGTCATAAATGGCACTAAAGTTTTCATTGGTGGAACTTGCACTAAAGCAAACAGATCTGGTTGCATTGATTCAGATGTTGGCAGGATTTACAAAGTCGCGCGGTGCGTCTTTTTTGAAATGACAACGATCAAGTATTTAAATGTAATTTGAAACCATTTCTATGCAAACTTGTAAAAAATTTATTAAGCGCATTTTACGACGGGTGGTTCAAGAAAGACTGCAAAGGCACTCATGACATAGCCATTCTTGAGTTGACTGAAGACGTGCCAAAGACAATAAATCATGTTTGTCTACCGTTCATAAATCATTTGCAAGAGATAGAAGATCCCTATCTGAAGATGAGAACATTTGGATGGGGAAGAGACCGTAAGATTTTTTTGCTGGATTAGAAGCATTATTAACATTTTCATTACAGCAATAAAGCATGCCAAACTATCGCCTTACCTGCAAATAGCGGATCTAGGTGAAAATGTTGGATTTCCCTTAAATAACGAACAACAAAGACATCTAGTAAAGGTGCAAAATCGACGGGAGAGGAGTGCGACAAAGTAACGGTTTGGAAAGCAAAGGATACATTTTGCTTCACGAGTATCTCTCCAACATGGTGTCCTGTAAGTTAGTGCTTTTGATCCGTCTTTTTTCGAGCAGCGAAATCAGTCATGATATGTACAACTTGATTGCACATTTTCTTTGTTGTTGTGCCAAGTACAAAAAGCCAAATTTCGCATCGCTTACAAATTTCTAGAAGAATACGCTGTTCACATTTTGCTTGATTATTTTATGATTTAGCACGTATGCAATATTAACTTCTTGTCAGTCACTTGCGAACTTTGCAACGCGGACTGGTCATTGTTGTTAATGATCGAACGTGCATTCTTTATTCAGTGGCTTGGCACATATTAACTGTAGCACAGCTGGAGATGTCATTATGGCTCAAAGCTTAGCTTCTACACTAACCAGTGCTGTTTGCAAGAGTTTGCCCTACTCCATGTGACTTGTCCACAGCATGCACGTGTTTAGTTTTACTTTCAAGTATATATATGAACTCCATCTTCAAGGAATGATCGCTCGAAAGATGCAGGGATTTACATACAGTCATATACCACCATTCTACAAGCATATGTAAAATATATAATGTGAAATTGAGTAAAGGAGAGTGGAATTTGAAAGCTCACTTAAGGTCGCTAACCTTCTTGTTCGTTTTTTCTGAAAGAAACTTCAACTGAAAGCGACTAAGATCGCGACTGTCAACTGATATAAAGTGAGAAACACAACAACATATCTATTCAAGAGCAATCGTTCAGAACTAAAGATAAGTGTAAAAGGATGCATGCTTTTTTCGTTTTTATCCTTTTCACAGCTTTGCACGTTTGGGACTTGCCTTTGCTCCTTCATGGCTGCCTCAAGGAGCGTGCTTTTGTATACTTTTTTCCTGCACACTTCCTTGTTTTGCTGTTGTCATGAAGAAAAAACGGGTTTCTAAAAAATTTTCCATGATAACCAATGGTTTCTGTCTCTTGCAAGGGAGGTCCAATCGGTCGAAGTAGACTTTCGAATTGTGTCCTATACCCTTTGAAGAGCATCAGATGATTCCAAATCTGATTTCATTATCTGCCGAGCGCCTTTGTATGCCGAGTTATGAAAATTTCTTGGTGCGAGAAATGAACACATATTTTAAATATAATTAAATTTTACCTCCTTTTTAGCGCTCAAATAGAGCAGTGTTAAGTACGAGTATTTTAGACAGAAGGTATTGTTCAAATGGAGTGCTCTGATAATCAACATCGGACCATTTGAGCAATTCTGACAAATTTTATCTTTATGCACTCAATTTTTCAACTCAAAAAACGCACATAACTCGACGTCCAGGGGGGCTCGGTAAATAACGAAGACAGTGGGCTGAATCTTACGGTAGGATCGGGCGAGTGCGAGGTGCGTGTAAGGTAGAGACGCAGAGTGGTTGCGGGTCCCTGCGCTCATGATGTGTGCGCTATACGCACTCTGGCCCTGCAAATCGATATTGTCGTGTGGGCGGCGTTCGGCCCTACCGTAAGATTCGGCCCACTTTCGGAGCAAATTTCAGGCTTGGTAGACCCCCTCTTTCGCTCCGAACTTCAGTCATCGCTTAGGTAGGGGGTCTACTATTACATCATTATGAGAGCCAGATACCCCCAGTCTAGTGGGACACTGCCTTTAATCTCCATTGGAAAGACTTATACTACCTGTGCATCAACAACTCATAAGGGTAAACGCTATAAAAATAAATGGCAGCCTTTGGGTCATGAGGTTGGAGACTCCATAGACCTCTACGACGAGAATTTGATAGGATTTCAAGCTTGAAAGAAAGCGATAACGTAATCTGAAGGCTTTACATGTACAAATATCCACTTCTTATGCGAAAAAAGCAAACAATCACGTACACTTCTGCTGTGCGAACTTCAGAAGCTGAAAGATGGACTTTGTTGAACCCCCGACAACTACAAACGCCTATCAAAACAGTCAAATCGAGTGAATTTGAACTGCTTGGTCGAACTAAAGAGCAAACAGACGTCCTACGTCAAACCATTTATCTTTGCTGAGTCGATCAAGGCAAACTCCATGCGCTGCGCTAGATAGGCGTCGAGTGTGTGACGTTTCCGTAACACTTTTAACAAATAAATCGACGCCTACATTACGGTAAGACAGCCGAACGATGGTTGAAAAAGTAATATTGTTGACTTAGGACACCACGTCGGCATGGGTGCGGTAACTTACCTACCCAAAAGACTTGCCGCAGTGTACCTTAAGTATCATGAGCAGTCAGATACGTAATTAGCATAGCGTACAGAGCTTAGTCTGTGTGTGATCTAAGCCCCGCCCCCATCCATCGACTCTTTCGCGATGCATCCATCAATCGTGTAACCGGGAATTCAATAGAATCACAAAATTGATGTTCAGCAACTATCTGCTCAATTTTGATAAAAAAAAAACAGATTTAGGGGTTTTCTGAGGTGCTCTTATCAAATATGGTGGCTTTGCGCTGTCTTTTCTTATAAAGCCGAAATTTCACTTTGTTGAGTCAACTTTTAGCTTGAGAAATCTCGAAAAAAAATAAAGCATGTTTTAGAACGCATGTAAAACCGCATATTCAGTGTTTTTCCCGGAACGTTAGAAGAATGATCCATTTTTCTAGTGAGAACAGCATGCCCTGAGGATGTAACCTTAATGATAAAAGACTATGGAGGTCAGCTAGTCTGGCTTTGCAATCTTTTTGTGGAGTAATGATGATATTTTGCTGCATTTGCATCATACTCAGAAAGTGAAGTTCAGCATTTTGGATTTACCTGATCCTTGTAATCTATAATAATTCTTTACAAGTCGAATGATTTCATATTTTTTAGTTTGTGGATTTTTTTGCATAAAATTGAGAATTTCTAATTCGGCACTGTCATATTCAGAATTGCCTTATCCTCCTGATGACAATCATCTTTTTTCTTTCCATCAGCTCTATCTTGAGCTTCGCAGCCCTCTTTTATCACATTTTTGCGCTGAGCCAGCCTCGATGCCAAAAAAGGCAACGTGTGGGCAGGGCTTAGCTTAGCACTGTACCCTAAGGAGCATCTGGAATCAGCGAGCTCGCTATGCCTAATTATACCCCGCAGACACACACCCATAAGGTGCGAGATTATCTCGGGTAGGTAAGTTCCGTTCCCCCGTCGGCATTATCATGACATAGAAACAAACTTTGTGTGGCTTCACTATATCCGTGCGGCGAGGCTAAAAACCTTGGTAATTTTAAAGAAGGTGTAGTAAATATCATCTTATTGAATTTTTATAGAGCTTCGAGCATGTTGAAACGATCTATTCATTAGCTAACCTGATATTTTTAATCAGTGGAAAAACCATAGTAACACGCGATACGAGCGTGACGAGCCTGTTAGTGCATTTTCAAAACAACCAATACATTGAAAACAGCGACTCGACAGATTCTCGATTGAAGCTTTTTTGCTTACCTGGTAGTTTGCGGCGCTGACTCCAAAGATCTACCTTGAAGAGCGCGAAAATGGCATAGACCACCATTTCCAAAGGCCTCCATTTTCAATTTGGACGAGTGGAGCGCGTCCCGCCATGGTTAGAAAGGCAGAATCGTTGCGGGACCCTCGCAGTTATAACATTGCGGCATGCCTTCTCTAGCGAAGCAGGAAGAATTGCAAGCTCGTCCGCGCGTATCAGAATGGCTTGCGCGTAAACGGGTTTTCTAGGCGAGGGCAGCATGCTGTGTACTCGGACCTGCTTTGTCCTCATGTTTGGGGTGCAAGCACAAGCAAGTGCAAGCAACTTTCCAAGTCGAAATTTCGGTATGTTCGGTTTTGGCGAGCTGCTGCTTTTAATACGATACGAGCATGGCGATGCTGTAAGTATTGCAAGAGCAACAATATACCAACACATGATACGAGCATGGCGAGGCTGTAGGTATTGCAAAGCAGCCAGTATAACATGATACGAGTATGGTGAAGCTGTAAGTGTACTTGCAAGTCATGATCAGCTCTTCAACTTTCTCTGCTTTGCAGGTGTTCGCACTGGTTTGTTACATCCATGCCCTCCTCGTGCTCTTGCAATGATGGCTTTGAAACTCACCATGCGATAATGCCATTAGGAATGAAATGCTAACAATTAAGACAACTGAGAGCATGACTTTTGCGATCCTGGAGTCTTCAGGGGCTATGATGATGAAGACTTTGACAGTTCATTCGAAAGTTCAAAAGGAAGTATAGTGCCATCGTCCACGATGAACAGTTGCTGACGGAGGCCCCTTAGGTGACGAGCACTTGGAAGGACGGGTAAAGTCTTTATTTTTGAGTACACCCATGGGGGTAAGACAGCAATGCTTCGACAGAGTAAGGAAAATGGCCTCACTATTGGACTGTGATTCTACAGCAGCTAGGTTAAGGGCACTGAACGGCCTTAAGGAACATGCGCTCAAGGCCAGACCAAAAAGTTGCAGACTTCTGTGTCGCCTTCGAGAACTCAGTGAGTAAGGGCAATGCTCAATGCAGTAGTGAGGATAGATCAGTGGAATACGCGCGGAATGGAATCTTGATAGGAAATTTGATGGAATGGCCAGAATACGTACGGCTGGTGGGAATATTACACCAAGTGACCCAGCTGATGCATATGACAAGATGAAAGATGTCGCGGTTGAAACTGAACAATCGCGGAGGCTCTGCAACTTCGAGAGGAGGATTGAACAGCAAGCGCCGTTCTGGAGGAAAGCAAGTTGAAATGAAGAGTATGTGCCAGCTAGGACGCAAAGCGGAAACAGCTTAGCAGAAAGAAGGGGAAAGGGAAGATGGTATGAGAAGGTAGGAGCCAGCAAGTAGCTTTAATGCCTAAGATGAAAATTAGGAAGAAAACAAGATGTTTCAATTGTGATCACTTCGGACATATGATGAGAGATTGTAAGTACGGGGCGGGGAATGAAGACGTCATCAAGACTTCGAATGGAGTGACATCAATGATAAGTAGGGGCCGGAACTTGGTCGTAAAAGCTCCCAATCAGACGCATGCAGACTTGGCGGAAGGGTAATATTGACTCATGCAAGGATGTTGGAGAGAATGGTTTCGACACTTTTAGACACGGGTTCAGTGATAAGTATACTACCCTAGAAGTGCCTACAGAAGCAAGGGACAGTGTGTAGTCATGTCAAGTCACTTCAGACTTTCGACATCGTGGAAGAAAGCATACACGGTGCATCAAACCACGTTATAAGTTTTCTAGGAGGTGTAAAAGTAACAGTAGAACCAGAAGGAGGATGCAAGAAGGAAGTGCTTTCATGTTTTGGACGATAAAAATGAAGAAGTACTATTGGAACAAATGTATTGAAAAGTCTAGGGGTGGAAATATGATACACCAGAAGCCTGAAGTCAAAGTAAAAGCAAAGGATAGGATGGTGCCTTTGCAGAAGAGAAACGTCGCCTCAGCAAAAGCGAAGATCCAGCAAGGTACCATTATTGTAAATGGATCCGTCTCAGGAAAGGGTAGATCTGTACCTGTCAACAGGAAATTTTCATCGCGAAAAAAAGAGATGTCAAGCAGACAAAGGAATCTGGCCAGAGGGAGCTTATGAGCCAAGTGGAGGAAATCAACATGTGGGAAGGGCTTTAGGAAACAGAGCCTTTTGAGAAACTACGTCCTCGTAAAATTTGCGATAAGGCACAGGAAGGAGTCAAAGTTGAGAAGACAAGCACTGCGGAACGACAAAGTTTTGAGAAGGAACGTCCTGTTGCTTTTACAGCACCGGGATGTGCAGCATCACTTGAGAAAGTTGAGCTGAAACGGGTGGAGTACTGGCAAAGGGGCAGCACCATTCACTCAACTCAGTTAGCATTGAAAGACTTGAAGAAACGTCGTGGTAGATCACAGTATGGATATATCCAAGAAGGGAGGATAAGGCTTCCATAGAGACATTGCGGATATGCAAAAAGTAACTCGAAAAAGGAGGAAAGCTGTGGCCGCCACTATCGTTCAAAAAGATTGGTATGTGATAAACAAAGTCAAAAGTGTGGTAGGATTGAATCAGCACCGAAAAAACGGGCAAACTCAAACCAGTTGTTCACTTGGCTTCCTCAAGAACAGAAAATGAGGACGTGACCATGGAAGCGAATAAATCCCAGAACTCTTTTCAGGCATACGACGCATTCCAGGAACTGATATGTGTGGTACCTCTACAATGTCAACCGCAGGAGAGTTCCCGGCAAAGCTCAACAAGTTACAGCAGCCGCCGAGGACGTAGGCTCCCTGGAGGGGAGGAGTGTTGGATGGCGCGGATCAATCTACCTATCTTCAGTGGCGGAAAAAGAAAGGTCGACTTGACCTCACAGCAGGGTACAAATACGGTGGACAGGGGAAGGGACCAACCAGAGCGTGAGGAGAACGCTTTCGGGAGTTTAAACGAGCTGTCGAAAAGAGGCGGATCCACCCTTCCCCTTAGATAAAAAAGCTTGATAACCCTGCTGAGAGAACCAAATCGTAGGAGCCTGTTGTTATACATAGCTATACCAGTGGCGGTCCCAGGATTCCCGTCCGGGAAGGGGGGGGAGGGGGGGGGGTCCAATAAAGGTGCGCGACGTCAGCCACGCACTCCGAAAAATTTTTTGGGGTGCTTCCTAGAATTTTTTAGGTTCTTAACCCCTGAAAGCTGGAAAAAGGGGGCCTTGGAAAACTTTTATAAGGCTAACTTGAATTTTTGAAAAAAAATTTAAAAATTATTCTAATTGCTTACAAGAATAAATAAGTCACTTGCGCAGCGTCCACAAATAATTAACAGCCTTGACGGCCTTACTAGTGGCTCAAAATTTCTGGCCGGGAGGGGGAGCAAAATGGTTTCAAATGACGATGTATGGCGTTAGCCACGCACTCCGAAAAAAATTTTGGGGTGCTTCTCAAAATTTGTGCGGGCCCATAACCCACAAATCTAGGAAAAGGGGAAAAAACTTTGTAAGGCTAATTTTTTCTAAAAATTTCAAGATATTTTAATTAGTTACAGGAATAAACAAGTCAATTGCACATTTTTATAACTCATGCAAGTAGATTCCAAAAATTCCACAATCTCTCGGGAGGGGTCCCCCCCCCCCTGGGACCGCCACTGGGCCTTACGTTATCGTAGCAGGATGATTAGCACGACACACAGGAGATTTCAAGAGTTGCATAACATGAGATGCGGCATATAAGCTGGCTTAAAAAAGTTTTTTTTTATCGGTCGAACGCCTTTGTAGACAAAGTTACATACAGATTTATCTTAAATAATTCAATGGAAAAGGATGCACATCTGTTCACAAAAATGCGTATATGGTTAGCGGTGCTAAAGCGCGTAGGTGTTTTTACAAAGTCTAAACTTGAAGCTTAGTTAGGAATGGTTATGTTAGCATCAGCGCCAAGCATACGCAATTTTCTGGCAACTACATTGCTCATAACTTTATCTTAAAGGCACCGTCTACCCAAAATGGGGTCTACGAGATTTCGATGTCTAATAATTGCGGGGCCCTCAACTGTAATCTCTTGGGCCCTCTTTCGCGTGCGAAAATGTGTCGACTTTCTAATTTTGATTTTTTCTTGCTTCGCAAATGAAAGAGCCAATTGGCCGATGGCTCCTGCTTGCCCTCTCCTTGCTACAACATATGCGACATTGAATGCATCTTCTCTCGCTAAATGTAGATTGTTGTCGCTTGTTAGTCTTCTGTTTTTGAAAAAAAAGTGAAAAAGCAAGACATTCTCTACATCGGAGGGAAATTGTGCTTATGTTAGCTCATTACACTCTGACCCATTATAAAATGTTACATATTTTGTTTCACGAAAATTGCGGAAGTTTCCTTCATGGAAATTTTTTCTTGAGCATGACTGCATTTTGGCGACTTTGCTTCAAGGTTTACAAATTTGCCACTAGAAAGCGCTGATTCGCCAGGCTTTTGTGAGCATTAGAAAGAGCAGGAAAAGTACTTTAAATGATGTTTATGACAATACCATAAATGCAAAACCCTAAGAAAATAGCTGCGTTGAAACAAGGCAATTGAAAATCGGACAGAACTTTTGAATCAACCTAGTATAAGTACAGCTCCTCATAGCTATAGATTTTCCGTGTAATATCGGTAAGTTCTCTGTAAGAGATGCAAAATTTGAATTAGTTTCCAACATTTTTATGTCCTGTAGTTGCAAAAAAGGCAATGACCACTGCTACAAGTTCTTAAAAACTGCAAAAATTGTATCTATGCAATCAATCTTTCTGGCGTAATTCCGTAGAAACATGTGATTTATGATAATTTTCATGTTGAAGTCGGACCCACATCCTTAGAATTATTCTCATAGGCACCACTAACGTGAATGTTTTTCGATCGTTGACACGTTAACTCCAGCAAATTTAAGGCGCTTATTCGAACTTGACATGTTAACACGATCAAAATGTAGCCAGTTGGTAGTACATATGGGAAATTCTATGGGATGTACTAATTTCGGGGGTATAAGGCGCACCCGCCGCAGCGAACAATGGCGCGAAAACGCTTTTTAAACGATTGTTCTTTAAAACTGAAGGAAAAGACTGCTGTGGTTAATCTCCGGTGCTATATTTGTGTGTGCTCTTCTTTGTTTCAATGTTACTGGTACTAAGACTGTGTTTTCTTCCTGTACAATGATACTACGGTATTTTAAATGTGCTGTTTTTGTTTTAATCTTGTCATTCTTGAAGAACAACAAAGAAGGTAGAGATTGTTTTGAAACAAATCATCATTTAGAGGAAAACAGCAAAAAAGGGAGCAAAAGCTACTCTAGGATGAAAGAGGTTGCTGCTGGCTACTTGTGCGACGCCGCGCATCGCGTACGTCATCATCATCAGCCCGCGCGCAGTGAAAGCTACTGCTCCTTATACCCCGGAAATTGGGGTTCTAGATGCGAAAGTTTACATACAGACCCAATTTTGCAAGCCAAAAAACGTGTGAATCCGTTTGATGCACAGTTTTAGAGCATTTTTGGAAATAACTTGCGCTTTTGCATTTAGACCTATATGCTGGTAATGCGCTGTGAACAAAATTTTGGCTCAACCCCTTTACGGGACTTGCGCCATGTATTTTGTAAAACACACACAAGTGTCACAAGTGTAGGAAAGGATATTATGAAAGAGCAGAAGATCTTTGTTTTTGCAGCAAGCACTAGTCATGTTTTCGCATTTGCTTATTTCAGGGTGACAGTGGTGGCGGAGTGACAGCAAAAATCCATGGAAGAAGTTACCTGATGGGGATAGTATCTCAAGGAGGAAATTGTCAACATAATGTTGACTATCTAAAGAAGAGGAGGAAAAAACGTCCATATCCAATGGCAAGCAAACTTTTCTACAACCGCGCTTGAGTAATCAGGATGTCACTCAAACATAAACAATCTGACTGATATGATACCTTCTACTTTTAGCAAATTTTGCTGCTATATGTTTTTAGGTTGCTACTGATATCATGTACCATAGAAAACTTATTGAGAAATGGCTTCAGACAGAAAAAAGTGAAAATCAACCTGCTGAAACACACAAAATCTCGCTGCCCAATGTTCTAAATACACTATTCAATATGTTTAATCGTTTGCTTCGCTTTTTGTTCCCCAGCTCGCAGAAAAAAGCACCCTGATGGATTGACTCGGACAGAAAATGCTTCCAAAAATGATGAGAACATATGAACCAAAGAGGAGCTGACGATTTGCAGACTACAGTTGGTATTAGGTCGGTGCAAAAGTAATGGCTGATTTTGAAAGCCTTTCTTCAGGCCAATTTTTTTCCATTAAAATTTCTTCTTTGGGACAAATTTAGCATACCACTGAAAAGCTGCTTTCATGCTCTATCTAAATGCTGGCTGAAGCGGGCTTTTACTCTCATCTATTATAAAGTTACTGAGCTACAAATAACAGCATCCAAATTTGGAATTTTGTTGCATTCACTTTTTTGGCCGGAATCCGAATGCGGATGGCGCTATTTCGAAAATTTAGCTATCGTATGCCATCGGAATTGTCTACATCATGCCTACTTAACTGTGTTTTTTAAAATTATCCAGACTGAGATATCGGCTTCTCAACATCGGTAGACGTTGCGGCCATTTTATGATCCATAAATTTTTTTTGAAGAAGTTATTCGACAAAACTTTGCTCAGTTATGTAAGCGTAATGCTAGCGCATCCTATCAGCAGTTTTTGCAAAAACATAAAGTTGTTCACTGCTCAGAAAATCAGGAAGATCTATATTAGGGAGTCTGAGGCGCAGTGAAAAAATATTTAAAAAAACTGAGAAATTTCAAATTTTAATTTCTTTTCTTTCTCGCAAACTTTTTTGTCCTAATTCTTTCTATTGCATTTTATACTACTGGCCTGCGGCTACAATAAAAGCCACTTATCATTCATACTAACAAATTTTGAAGGAGGCTATGAATCGTCAAAGAGAAGGTTCAAACAGGAAAACCTTTTTTGTTTTTCAATACATATTTTTCTGCCCATTCGTAAGTATAAGTAAATGTGCGCTGTTTTGGAAGGTTTGCTGCTTTTGATGATCGTTACCGCATTCGGAAATGTAAATATTTCAAAAAATTATAGACGTCAAATTAAATCGGCCTCTACTTCTGCACCAATCTTATATTTGTAGTTGGTAATGTACAAAAATTCAAACGTATGTTGTTATTTTAGTGCTTAGTTGGTAATGTACAAAAATTCAAGCGTATGTTGCTATTTTAGTGCGTAGTTGGTAATGTACAAAAATTCAAGCGTATGTTGTTATTTTAGTGCGTGTTGCATGTGTTAGTTGTCTCATAGGTTTTCAATTCCGACTTCTTCCGCAATAAACCCTATAATTCTTGATTTCAGTTTGTTTGCAGCAGTAGCGTTCGAGAAAGCAAAACAAACTTCACAAGATGGCGGGACATAGTCAACTATGGATACTGCCTTCTCAGCTAAAGCAAGCGACACCAGTTTACAGCCGAAATCTGAGATGCAGTAAAAACTTTACAAAAGAGTCATAGAGAAACCAATGTTTCTTCGGGAAGCAAGCAAAAGCTTGAAAGCTTCTACAGTTTAACCAAAGTCGCCCCAAAGTCAAAAAGAGACTCTGGACATGAACTTTGCATTCTACCGGCTTACTCGTTAATTGAGTTTTCAATTCAAAGCAACGCGTTATCTCTGTGCGCTCTAGCATCCTTTTAAGCTTACATACCGTGGCGCCATAATTACTTCTTCGTGAGATACTTCGGAGCGCGCCTATCCAGCAATGACGCCTATCAACTTTGTTGTACTCATTCGATGCACATATCCGACCATAGCTGATGCTTATTTCTTCGCTCATCTCTGGCGCATCAATACTTGGCATAACAGTTTCTTCATTGGGCTGATGAACACATTTGATTCAAATTCTCTCCGCTTTCGCGCGTGTTTTTGCAAGGTAGTTCTTTGATTTCCTTGTCGTACTAGTGAACCAGTAAAGGTAAAGGTACTATTTGGAAAAGCGTTCGCTTCGGAGCCCGTAGCGCGGTTCCCCGCTATTAACAGATTTTTGAGTTGAGCTAACGATTCCTTATATATTATATTAGGTTGGCACTCAAGTAATGCAGCTTTTTATATAACTTTTGTCTATTTGAACGTAGCGCATTCTTTTTTGGCAATATAAGGAATATGATGTAAGCTTCTAATGCACACATTTTTGCGAATTTTACCATCTCATGTGAGGGATTACGGTAGGTTTACGGTACTATGGGAGAAATTTTAGAATGCATCAGATTTTGATGAAACTTAGCCTATAGGGCTTATTTGACATGCTGATCACAAAAATGAGATCCGTTTCGCATGAAAAGGCCTCGTTCGTGAGATCAAAAGAAAATTTCATTTTAGCGACAAATGAATATGATATTCGTGTTTATCGCATAGGATTACCCTATAGTGCAAAGTTATAGCGAATTCTGACTTTTCGCAGCTTCGTTATTGACAAATTGCCTTCAAAACTTGACGCATTTGACTTGTTCAAATTCTCAAAGGCGCCCCACCTTAATTTGTGTTTGAATTTCATTTCTTTCACTGTTTCCAATATGCCGACTTCCAGCTACATGCTGCCTATAATTGCTTTTTCATATGTTTGAATCAGGTTTCGTAGGGCTTCATGTTTGCCAAAAAATCGTGAAACCTCGATTTTTAGCAGTTTTCAAAAAATGCTTAGATTATGTGTACTATGTTATCAAAAATCAAACGGTTTGCGCAGACTTGCAGCTTACATCACGGTCTACATGACGCCACAAAATGAGATTGCTACATAGGATGGGAAAAACGTTACGGGAGAAGTTGCAAAACTTATGTGCCAACCTAATATATGACAGAATAGTACTTGTCACCACTGAAAGCAGACATCTACCCTTTAACTGAAAAGGATTGGTGGTTGGAAGGCGACCGCTCGCATCTAGACGCAGTTTGCGTCTCCCTCGAGACCGTGCTCTCTGATTAATCTCTAGCCTTGATTGGCCCTCGAAGCCCGGCCTTCCAGCTGCCAATCCTCTTCTGGGAGGAGATTCATCTGTAATTTTTGCTTCATCATTCTCAATCTAGTGGACTGTTCAGATAGAGCGTTGTTGCGGGCTATTGACAAGAATGCAGATCAAAAAGGACATTAGCGATTGAAGAGGATGCCAGGATGCGACAGTAAATGCATCTTTAAGGGTAAGGCAGTGATAAGCAGTACCAATCAGCGCGGACCGCGCGATCTCTTCACCTATGACTCAAATAAGGCAGCCTTGTGAGGAGCTAAACTTACCTAAGATTTTTTGTTGCAGAGCGCCTTGACAATCATCGCTGCTGCATTTGAGGTCTAGAAAGAATATTACGCCCCCACAATGGTCGGTCGCCTCATCGTGGCGTGGGGGTGACACTGGGTGTCGAACTGCGATGCACAGCCGAGTGTATACTCTGGTAGGGCCTCCCAAGCTGTGAAGGAGTTCGACGTTTCCGGTTTCGGCCGGATGCCTAGCTAAGAACTGGCCGCGCCAGATTCTCCGCCGTCTGGCTTCTTCTGGTCGCTAGGCGGTCCCTCCCCGCTCCAAGCCCGGGGTCAGCGATCACCCCGTGGAAATCAAGAGTAGGCCTAGTAAGCCACCTCTTGTAGGGGAACAAATTTTATTACTCAGACAGCAAGAAGATTTAGAAAAAACCCTGTACATCGGATCCCGCCTACGGCGCCGGGTGGTAGCAAGAACGATGTCAGGGTACTCAGGGCGCCTTTCGGATTGGACAAAAACGACACGTCTGCCCGGACGACACGCCATGGAGACTGCCTCATGCTCTGCACTTACAACGCCAGGACAGTCTCCACAAACGCCGACCTCCACGCTCTTCTCGACGCTGCAGAGCACATCAACTACCACATCATTGCTCTGCAGGAAACGAAGTCCAGGAAGAAGGACGTGCGACAGATGAGTGATGGGACTCTCATCATTCGTGGTGAAAAGGTTCCATCACGAAATGTGGGAGGCGTCGGCTTTGTCGTCCACCCATCTATCGTCCATCTTGTCGATTCGCACGAGATCCTATCACCTCGACTAGGCATCCTACGACTACGACCTCCACATCAGAAGACCATCAGCATCATCAACTGCTATTCTCCAACATCAGCAGCTGACGAATCAGAACTAGATGCTTTCTACGAAGATGTGGAGGAGGTCGTCCGCAACGAGAAGTCCTTTTACAAGTTTGTTGTGGGCGACTTCAACGCGAAAATCGGGATGCCACTGGAAAGGGAATATAGGATCGGGAAGTTTGGATATGGGCTCCGGAACGAAAACGGCAACCGTCTTGTTGGGCTTCTCTCCGCCGCACGACTTTTCCATGGAAATTCCATCTTTATGAAGAAGGAACATCGCCGGTGGACATGGGAATCGCCCAACGGAACGACCCACGCGGAGATCGACCACATTCTCACTAACCGAAGGTGGAGCTTACTCGATGTCTCTGTAGTTCCATCCTTCTGTAGTGGCTCCGATCACCGCCTCCTTCGAGCAAAGATACGACTCAGCCGAAGGCTGGAAAAGAAAGTCTGTCATAGTGCCGCGAGAAGGAAGGAAGTCGTCTATGACGGTAACAGGCTGGAAGAGCTCATATCAAGTTGTGACTGGCCCATCGAGGAGGACCCAACGTACGACTACGACCGGCTTCTGAAAGGATTGCGAGCCTGCGGAGAATGCGCCTCAGTGACTTCTGAGAAGAACTTGGACCGCATCTCGAAGACCACCAAGGAATTGCTCGAAAGAAGAAGATCATTGAGGCAGGATCCGAATGCAACTCATCTCGAGCGACTGATTGCCAACACCAGTTGCAGAACAGCTTTGCAGGAGGATCTCAGGAAGTACAGGCAAGCCAAGATACTGGAAGCAGCAGAAAGAAGACGAAGTCTCAAGAAGTGCCGAAGGGACCTCTGCGAATATCACGTACCGCTGGCTGCACTACTGAACGAAGACGGGACTCCGACTTCTTCCCGATACAAGATGGAATCTATCGCGAAGAACTTCTACACCAACCTCTTCCGCTCATCAACACCCGTGCAGATGCCCGTTGTTCCCACTGGAGAAGTACCACCACGAATTCTACCTGCTGAAGTGCGTATCGCGATACAGACCATGAAGACGTCCACGGCTCCAGGACCAGATCATCTTTCCGTCGAACTTCTG